GCAATGCTGGGTAAATGACTCTTTCCCCTCACCTGAAAAAAGGTGCTGGGAGAAGCCACACCCCTGGGAATCCCTCATCCTCTGGAATTGGCCCAGGGGCAGCCTGTCTCTGTTGAGCTAGCTACAGAACATCAGTGCATGTTCCCAAGAGCAGCCCTGGCTCTGAGCTGTGGGACAGAAGCGCGGGAGGCTGACATTCACACTCATGGCCACAGGCCAGGGCATCAGTAATGCCAATGAGCCTCGCACTCACCTGGCTTGAGGAGCCTTTGTAGGGCCTGGCACCAGCAGGTGAAGCATTCTTGTGAGGCATCCAAGGAAACCCACAGCTTCCCTGGGCCTCACTGGGTCTGCTAAGGGCCACCTGCTGTGTGAAAACTGATTTCTCCTGCAAATCACACTTACTTACATCTGAGGTCAACTAAGTGACATAGGGGTTATACATCCTAATTTCCAGGTAAACCAGTGGTTCTCAACAGGGGACAGTTTTGCCCCTCAGGAGATACTGGGTAATGTCTGGAGCTTGGCAGGGTGAGGGGTGTGGGAGGAGCACTTCTGGCCAGGGATACTGCTAAGCATAGTGTCATGCACAGGACACTACAGTTTGTCCAGCGCCCATCACAAAGAATCCTGTGGCCCAAAATGTCACTAGTTCCAAAACTGAAAAACCCTGAGAGAAGGAAACTAATTCTGAGAGATATTTACCAAGTTCACATAGCTGATGAGTGCTACAGTCAGCTTCCAGGTACTGATTCTCTAATTCAGAAGTCAACATCCCTTCTTTATATCTGTAATGGCAAATGCCCCCTTGAAGTCTGAAATGCCCCAACAGGAAATGCTGTGAAGCTTCCTAGAGTCATGTTGTAGTTGGCATCAGAGGTTTGTGGGTGAGCAATAATTTAATTGCATTTGAAATGTAAATAGTCACTTCTCTCTGTGACCGCCCTACCACCCTCAGGCACAACATCCATCTTTAAGTACTAATGGTCTTGTCAAATGCCCCAAAGTCCCCAGAAAGGGGACACATTGTCCTCTCACCAGAGCTGGACAGTCACCTTTAACCAGGTCCATCCAGGCAAGTTAGATAATCCATGCCTATCTCCAAGAGAAATAATCCAGGTCAAGTCCCTGGCACAGAGTAAATGTACAATGGGGGAAGGAGAGAATGGGAGGAAGAGGAATGGGAGTGCAGCCATGGTAGAGATGAGGCTGGAAACACCAGCACAGCCCAGGCCACAAGTGCCAGAAAAGCCTAGAAGGGAGACTTTGCCCTGAGTCCAGTGATAAGATATGGAGAAGTTCTAGGTTAACAATTTATATGATTACTTTCTCAATGCCAGTCTGCACCACATACTCCAGAAGCTAAGTTTCTATTTGTGCCAATCCCAAGGTTAATCAAGTCTGACCTCAGGAAGGAAACCCTCTGCTTATGACAGCTCTCGTAGATAGACATACAGCCAGTCATTTCTAGGAGAGAGAGCTCACAGTCGAACTCCACTCCTTACTCTGAATCCTGGGACCACCCCCCTCCTCACCCACCCATACCTAGGCAGTACCTCCTGGGGCCCCTTCAGTTCGTACCCCTCACTCTGCCAAAAATAAAATAATAGTATTGCCTTGAACTTTGGAATTTTAATTTCCTGAACAGCTATAGCCAACCACAGGCCATTACTGAAAGACTGGTGACTGTAGAGTGACATTTGAGACCCCACAGGCAGGCTTGTCAGAACTCCAAAGCCAAATGGAATGCTTTGGTAGAAGTGGAAGCTCTTTCTGCTAGATGAGTTGGAAAGCCCTTAATTAATAATTCCAAAACAGAACCTCACAACTTCTCTGAGTTCTGGCCAGCAAAGCCCAGCCAACGATGGCCTGGTCAGCCTACGCCAAAAATTGCACTTGTCTTCCAACTGTGACCAAGCACTCCCAAACAGGCCTGCCTACTGGCAGCTGAATCACTGAAAGCAGGAAGATGGTACAGAAGTTGGGCTAGAGATAGAAAGTGGCTGAGGACCAAGCCTAGGACTAGCATCTCCGTAGGAGAAGACCCGTCAGCAAATCCAGCACTAGGTTTGGCTTCCAACTCTCCAGATTGCTGGTTCTCTTGCTAGTAGTTTTCAATCTTGGCTGGGCATTAAAATTAACCTGGTAAGCTTTTAAAGTCCTGCTGCCTGGACATCAACCCAGACTGCTCTGTGGTGAGACCCAGACATCTGTATTTTTTTACAGCTCCCCAGGTGACTCCAATATGCAACCAAGGTTGAGAATCATAGACTTAAGTCTTCCCTTTACACCTTGATTAATTCTTTCAGCACAGGATGATGAAGTTTTCCACCACCTGAAATATTGTTTATAGTCTACAGTCAGTAATTCACATCAAATACTTGCACTCCACAAATGTATGATTAAAAGGTGAAATATCCCCCAAAGGCAAGACTTGTTTTTTAAATAATAACTGTAATATTAATAGTAAAACAATCAAACAGAAGCCATTCCTTTATAATATATTTCATATCTAAACCATCCTCAACCAGGATGTTGCCAATCATTATTCTAAAAAAAAAAAAAAATGTGGCCATGTCATTGAGAATGCTCAATAGCTCCCTATTGCCTATGTCAATCAAAAAACAATTATAAGCACCCCACCAACTGAATGGAGCCCTCTTGGCCAAGAGGATCCCGGAGAAACCTGAAAAACTAGTTCAGGCTGTCATCATAGGGCAGGAGTCAGACATACCTAGTTATACCCTCCTCCTTTGGAGTCTAGGCACAGCTAACCAGCATTAACATAAAACAAAGATTGTAAGACTGGCAAAGCAGACTCTCTGTAGCAATAACATACTGAACTCCAACTTGACTCTGATATAACATCACATGACAGCAGGCCCTGAAGGAAATCTCAGTATTTTATCCCAAAATACATTTTCTTTGACATATTTTGAAATGGCCCTGCAAAGCCATCTCTTATGGAGAAAATTTGTATTCTGTAGAGAATCCCTTTCCCCTTCCAGGTATCTTCTTGATCCAGGAGAGATTTTATTAAGAGTCTGACACCTTTTAAGAGACATTTACTATCCATTCTCTCTGAAGCCTCTTACCTAGAGGCTTCATCTACATAACAAGAACCTTGGCTTCCACAACCCTACTTACTTAATTCAATGATTTCCTTATGCTGACTTCAACTCTTGAGGCAAAGCTTAATTCTTTCAACTGATTGCCAATCAGAAAATCTTTGAATCCAATCATGACTTGGAAGCCCCCCTTCCCTTTGAGATGTCCCATCTTTCTGGGCTGGACCAATGTGCTACTTACATGTATTAATTTATGTCTTTTCCTGTAACTTCTGCCTCCCTAAAATGTATAAAACCAGGCAGTAACTCAACCACCTTGGATACATGTTCAGGAGACCCCCTGAGACTGTGTCATGAGCCGTGGCCACTCATATTTAGCTCAGAATAAACCTCTTCAAATATTTTGGAGAGTTTGGCTTTTTTTTTATCAGCACAGACAATACTCAAACATAGTGGGGTTCCTCACAGCCTGTTTCTGGCCTGCCCATGCAGCATTGTCTCCCAAGCCCACGTTTTGCATACTCTGGACCCACCTGTCTTGTAACTTCATTGGCACATTTCCTTGGCCCTGGAAGATCCTCACCTGCTCTTTTCACTTGTTAAATTCTACTCCTTTTGAAGGCAGAGCTAAAATGCTACCTTTCCCATGAAGTCATTCCAATCACCCCAAAAGGAATGAATCACTCTTTCTCCCTCTGCACTAGCTTCCCCTGCCGTGCACATTATAGACAATTCTTTCATGATAGTTCTAATTAAAATTATTTGTTTGTATATCTGTAACCTTCTAAAAATATGAGATTCCACTGCGGGCAGGGGACATGCCATATCTATTCTGGGCAAAACAGACAAAATGAATGAATAAGTGGACAGCAGGTTGAATTAACTGCACGTGGTATATATGTGATTGATCCTCCGCAATTGAGACTTTAGCCAATATGTGCTATTGGATTCCAAGACGCTTTCCCAGAAAACAGACTGAATTATATTTTCTCAGGAAGGTAGCTTTAAATCCATCAACTGAAATCATCATTATCTATATTCCATGTTAATTATCTAGGCTCGTCAGCATGCCAGATAATTAGTGCTCCTGTGGAGGTAAGGCAGAGAGCAGGTTGTGTGGAGGAAACATCTTGTTTGTGGACCATCAGGCGGAGGGCTCCTGGGCACAGTCTTTTTTGTGTCCATTGGGTGTTTCTCCCCTGTGTAAGCTCCATCCCACATCACTTTTGTCTTAGTCTGTTCAGGCAGCTATAATAGAACACCATAAATTGGGTAGCTTATAAGCAACAGATTTATTTCTCACAGTTCGAGAGGCTGGGAAGTCCAAGCTCAAAGTGCTGGCAGCTTCAGTGTCTGGTGAGGGCTCATTTCCTGATTCATAGATGCTGCCCTCTAGCTGTGTCCTCATTTGGTGGAAGGAGGGGTGGGTCTCTCTAAGACCTCTTTATAAGGGCACTAGTCTTATTCATGAAAGCTTCACCCCCATGACCTAATCACCTCCCACAGGTCCTAACTTCTAATACCATCAGCTTGGGGTTAAGATTTTAAAATATGAATTTAGTAGGGTACCCAAACATTTAGACCCCTTTGCACCTGTAAGTCCCACCTTCTAGGGTCAAAGCCAGTGAGCTGTTGAATTATCTAATTATCCAGGGAAATACAAGCTAGGAGCAGAAGAATACAAAACTAACTCCTCCGAGCAGAAGTTTTTCTTCATGCACCCCATCTAGAAAGGCAGAATAGGGGAGTGCATGAGACCATGAGCTGTGAGACCTTGTCAGTTTCCTTCATCTTTACCTCAGGCCTCAATACAGAATGAGAGGAGTAAAAGTACCTCCCTGATTGCATCACTGGGAGGATGCAATGCATTAAAACACACGCAGTGCTTTTAACATTGCCTGGCACATAGCCAACGATCAGTAAATGTTTTACCTTCATCATTTATTCAGGTAGTTTAATTAAATGAAATCCACATGTGAAGTTTTCCTTTGATGTCCCACTTCTTCCATTCCCACTGAGGAGGGTCTGCTGCATGAATTCCTTGGAGATCCACACATGGAAGCACAAGCATTGGGTGCCAATTAAGAAAAGGTGCTAGGGAAGAGACAAGATGAGAAGGGGCAGGCTAAATAATTAGGATCCTTACACTGGACACTTTCTGAACTTCCTTATGCCACGTGGTCAATGCTGTCACCGCCCTTCTCCACCAACCCTAGTGCCTGCCACCCCTGCTCCAGCCCTGCACAGACTCCAGACTAGTGAGAGAACCACATTTGAGCAATGAAGAGCCCCACCATGGGATATCACGGGATCCAGAAGGAGTCTGGTTGCCTTGACTATGACTGAGTGGAGTCCTACCAACCTTCCCTCTCTCCTTTCACCTACAATCATTCTGTTAGCCATTGTTCGACTCTAGTGAATACCTTATCCCTTATCCCTTGTCCATCTGAGAATTAATCATCCCTCAAAGCCCAGCTTGGCAATAATTACACAACCCAATCCTCTGAAAACCAGTAATTAAAGGATAGGAATAAGCATTTATCTTGCCTACATAGGAGAAAGTATAGTTTATGCCCAGTTGATGAGTGGAAGTTCTTCCTTATAACAGAATGTCAGCTGATACATGTAGAATGATAGAATTGGGAAATCACTATTTTGAAACCTCTAATGAAATTACTAATTCAGGTTCAAATTTTAGCATAAATAGAATGTTTAAAGGTGTTGTCGTGTCATCTGACAAATGATGTGCGATGATTTGAAGATGAGAGATGAGGCAATGGAGCTACCTAGCAGTTATTGTCTTAGACAAATGATCAAAAACTAACATCTCTAGTGAAAGATCTAGCAGCTCTAGTGAAATAAATTCTCAGTTTGGACCTGAATCTCACCATGTTTTTAAATCTAACTTCTACTTTATGAAGAAAAATACAGAGAAGGGAGGAGCAAATTAACTGAGACCACATGGAAATAAACAGATAGATTTGTATGTGGGATCATTATATAAGAAAACTGGTTTGTTTTCTTCCAGAAGTCAACACTAAAAGATGTACGACTATCAGCATTATTTATAATTGCCAAAAAATTGAAATGACTCAAATGCCCATCAACTGATGAATGGATAAATAAAACGTGGTATACAATAAATGCGTAATTAAAATGTGGTGTATCCATAGAGTGCAATATCATTTGATAATAAAAGAAAAAAATATGAACACATTCTAAAACATGATTAAACTTTGAAAACGTTGTACTCAATGGAAGAAATCTATCACAAAAGGCCACATACTACATGATTGCATTTATACAAAATGTCCAGAATGGGAAAATCTATAGAGACAGAAAATAGATTAATGATTACCTAGAACTAGAGGGGTGGGATTGATGGAAATTGGGGAAGCAGGGTGATTGATAATGGGTACAGGGTTTCTTTCTGAGGTAATAAAAATGTTCTAAAATTCAGAATGCTTTGAATGCACTTAATACCATTGAATTGTACACTTTATATGGGTGAATTGTATGGAATGAGAATTACACCTCAGCAAAGCTATTTTTAAAACTGTGTGTGATGTGGGTTGGGGGGGTGAGCTTTTTCATTAAAAGAGACAAAATAACCAAATGCAACACATGAATCTTGATTGTATCTTCAATGGGTCCTGAATTTTAAAAGTTAGAAAGCTGTAAACATGTTTTGGGGACAATTGGGGAAATTTGAATATGAATGAAAGACAGGCTGGTAGCAGCCAGAGCACACACAAGGAGGGCACCAGAGTGGGGGAGAGGAGGGCATCCAAGCAGAACAGAAGCCCAGTGGGATAGGAAGATGGGCGCCATTCAAAAGAATTGAGTGTAAGTAAATAACCTGAGGGTAACAAGACATAGGTTTCCTACTGCTACAGAAAGGAGGGACCAATATGGAAGGAGGAAAAGCCAGAATGAACCCTGCGGTGTTAGACTGGAATAAGCAGCATCTGTGTAAATTCCCGGTTTGAGATGTAGGTGTAAATGTAGATGTAAATATCCTAGCTCTGTCCACTGAGAAGGCCTGGAAGCAGCTACACCCTAGTAGTACTGAGCATACCTGCAACTCAGATCTTGGTTCTAAATAGCATTTCCTGTTCAAATGAACCAAGGTTTGTTAGAGAACTGGCTGGTTAAAGGACTGAGGAAGGAAAAGAAGAAAATGAACCTGAACATCTAACTGCACAAGAAAGAAAAAAAACTTTCAAAAAATACAGAGAAATGTCAAAAGCACACAAAGTCAGCTGGAAGGGGTTCCCAAGTATGGGAAAATTTGAGTTTCAAAATAAACAACAATATTATCAGACTATAACCTATTGAATAAAATAGAAATCTATAAGTCTTCACCAATGTAAATAAATACATAAAGAGAAAAAAGAGAAAGCCCTTCTGTATTTCAGAAAACCAACTAATAACTGTAGAAAGGATGATGAAATTCAAAAACCACCATTTGGCAAGGATCATTATAATAATTCAAGCAAGAAAAATCAATGGATGATAAAACCAGAGAGTGAGAGAGTAATAAGAAATGGAATTTTACATAGTCTCAAAGTATCTCCCCAGAAGACACACCCTCATCAAGTGATAAAAGTTAACGCTATCAGTATTAGGACAAATAGATATTGCATGCCTCCAGATAGGCTGCAATGAGAATTCTGCATCAGTTTTGTGAAATTCCAGCCAAAAAAAATCGTATCTGGTGTCTTCAAGAGGAAACATTGAACAAACTAAAATTGGAGATCATTGTGCAAGATGACTGGCCTTGAATTATTAAAAAAAAAAAATCAAGGACATGAAAATCAAGGTAAAACAGATACAGTGTGAGAGTAAAGACAGAGTAAGGGGAACCTTGACAACTGGGCATGAGTAGTAGTCCTGGATGGACTCCTTTAGCCATGAAGGACCTTAGTGGACCACCGTTGAACTTCTGGGTGAGGGATACACAGGAATTCTTCAAACTAGTTTTCCAACATCTATATGTTTGAAATTGTTTCCAATTGTTTTTTTAAAAAGAATAAAATTTAGCTATTATCTCCTTTTGGAAAATTTTCAGAGCCTACCATGTGTTACCTCTGGACATTGGGCAAACTTTGGTTATTTCGTGTAAAGTAATCTTCTGTTTACTGTTTAGCTTCCCCACTAAACCGTGAGCTCTTTGAATGCCTCGACTGGGTATTATTCTTTTCCACTTCTCTTGAGCCTAGCACAATGTCTAGAACATAGGGAACATCAGTAAATGTGTGTTGAATCCATGTGCTGCGCAACTCATAACCTCGGAGAATGGCTGGTAGATTCCTGGACATGCTGAGTGTTGGTAAATTCTTGCAGACGTTAAACTGAAATACACCTCTCTGCAAATCAGAGAGCATCTGTCTGTCCTGCAGCAATGAGCTATGTGTCCTGCCTGGAACAGTGTTCTGCATCCAAGGGGCACATTGCCTGAAATCATAGGCTCCAAGAAATGGCGTTCTTGCCTCATTGCTCTGGGGGGAACAATGGCCCCTGTTTGTTTAATCTCAGTCCATTGTGGCAGCCTTGACTGCACAGAGCTCACCTGTGATTCATGTGAATGTCACTTGAGCTCCCAGGAGTTTGCAGCCATAATTCAACATTTTGTTAATAGCCACTTAAAATGTCCCTGAAATAGCTAACAGGCCCAGGGGAATGAAGTATTCTGCTAGGAAATCATTCCAAGAAAGCCATCTTGGCCCAAACTTTAGAAGATTCTATTACTTCCAATGCCTTCTTGCACTCTGTGAAAATGCAAATGGGCATCTCTCAGGGACACCAAGGAAAAAGTGGAAACCTGAAATTACCTACATATCATAGTGGGCATGCTGGAAACCCTGCCCAATCGCTCCTGCTCCAAGAGAGGCCCTCAACTGCTATATCCAGTGAGGAAGGGGAAATACAAGGGAACACAGTCCAGAGTATTCCAAGAAAAAACCCCTTGTTCAAAGAACAGAAAGAAAGAGACAGAAAAACATATAGTGCTGGATTAGAAGTCAAAAAATTTGTGTGTAGGTGGGGATGGCAAGAGAGAGAAGGGTGAGAAAAAAAACTCACATAGGTTGAGGCCTACTGTGCTATATAGTTTACAAATTATTTAATTATCCCCAAGTCTAATTAAACAACATACTCAGGGTCATCAACGTTGTATACAATTGTAGTGTATAATCATTAGGTCACTCAGATAGTATATGAATCAATAAACAGTCTCTCTCCAGAGCTCCAGCTCTTACTCACTGCCACTTGCCAATTTGTCAGTTATAGCAAACTTGGGCTGGACATTCAAAATCAACTCGCTGATTCAGAGGCAGAAGTTGAAGCTCTCAATGCTGAGCTCTTGCCACCTGCTTCCTGAAACATAACTGTTTGTTATCAAGTTATCATTTCTTCCACCTAGAGTGAGATTTAAAATGGAGAAGTGGAGGTGAAAAGAGCTAGTACAGCAGAATCACACGCACATCTGCATAGGGATACTGAGTTCCTCATGTGAGACCGCTGAGCCCACTAGTTGGCAACTTGGAGAAATGTCAAGTGTTACCCTGGCAAGAAGAGACTTCTCCAGGTTCTCTACATTCCTGAAGCAAGTGCTATAGAATGGCTTGGCACTCCACCTGCGTGTTCCCGAGCACAGAATCAGGGTAAGAGAGAATTAAGAATTAGTGCAGACTGGCAGAGCTGGAAGGTTAGGAGTACCATAATCATATGCCCAGCTCTCAGAGACAGTGGTGCTTGTGATATGCAGACATCATGGTTACGGGATCCTAAGTGCATCTTCTCCTGAAAAGGGAAAGTTTTATTCACAAAGTTGATGCACAGTGTCCTGTCTGTGCTCCCATTGAAACCAGCTTCCCCAAAGATGCATGACATCAGCCTAGAAGCCACCTGCATTATTTATTAAAAGAAAAGGTCTGAACTGGGATGTCTCTCAGAACCACAGTCTTTTGACTATATTTGTGCTGCTCATTCCCCTCTAAGTATGGAATTGTGACTGGAAGGCCTTGTTCTGGAAAGCTAGAATATTGTCTTGCAACCCCAAACCCTTCATTTTGCCTTCTGCCACGCAGAACTGGGGCTATCTTTACCTCTTCTTCGTTTACCTGCACAAAGGCAAGGGCTGCAGGTAACAGCTAGATGGCTACCTGGAAAGCTGAGCTCAACAGCATCGAGTTGAGGCTTCCTCTCCTCTCACCTCTCCTGCTCTCCTTCAGGTCCAGTAGCTGCCAGGCTTCTGCTTCCAAGAGGAGGATACCGATAAACTGAGGGGCCTTGGGCCCTGACTGACTTTTTTGAACTAAGACCTAAAGATTTGTTGATGACTGGCCTGACTTCATTTAGCTCAGCCCTGCACAAAAAAAAGCATGATGTCTTTACAGAGAACCCCTACAGGGAATCAGACGGCATGAACTCCAATCCCTAATGGTGCCACTTTCTTACTGAGTGACCTTGTGCCAGTCACTAAGCTTCTCTGAGCCTTACCTATGTTCAACTGTGAAATAGATATATTGGTACATGCTACAGTTTGAATATATATAGTATATCCCCATAAAAACTCATGTTGAAGCTTGGTCCCAAATGTGGTGGTGTTGGGAGGTTATCCCTTTAAGGGTGATTACATCATTAAGATGAATTAATGTCTTTCTTGCTAGACTGGGTTACTTCTTGTAGGAATGAATTAGTTCCCATGAGAGCAGATTGTTATAAAGCAAGGTTGCCTATTGTGTTTTGCCTTTTTTGCATGCATCTGGTTCCGCTCCCATTTCTCTACCATGTTTTGATGCAGCCCAAGGCTCTCAGCAGACCTTTTCTTTTGATGAATATTCAGGTGTTTTTTGGGCTGATGTCATGCATCTTTGGAGAAGCTGGTTTCAATGGGAGTACAGCCAGAACACTGGGCATCAAACTTGTGAAGGAAACTTTGCCTTTTCAGGGGAAGATGGGCTTAGGATCTTGCAGTCACGATGTTTACATATCACAAGCACCATGTCTCTGGAATCTGGGCATATGTCTGTAGTAGGCCTGACTTTCCAGAAGCTTCCAGATGCGGCTGCTCCGTGTTGAGTGTCCCTGCCTGTGGAACCATAAGTTAACTAAACCTCTTTTTTTTTTTTTTCTTTTTATAAATTACCCAGTCTCGGGTATTCTGTTATAGCAACACAAAACAGACTAAGACTAAGACAGTACATTTTCCACTTTCAGAGTTATTGTGAGGATCAAATAGCATCTTAGAAAGCATTTAGGCTGGACGCGGTGGCTCAAGCCTGTAATCCCAGCACTTTGGGAGGCCGAGACGGGCGGATCACGAGGTCAGGAGATCGAGACCATCCTGGCTAACACGGTGGAACCCCATCTCTACTAAAAAATACAAAAAACTAGCTGGGCGAGGTGCCGGGTGCCTGTAGTCCCAGCTACTCGGGAGGCTGAGGCAGGAGAATGGAGTGAACCCAGGAGGGGGAGTTTGCAGTGAGCTGAGATCCAGCCACTGCACTCCAGCCTGGGCGACAGAGCAAGACTCCGTCTCAAAAGAAAAAAAAAAAAAAGGAAGCTTTTAGGATATGAAACCAGACACTGCTTCCACCAATTACAAGATAAGTGACTATAGGCCAGTTCTTCCACTTTTCTAAACCTCAGTTTTTTCCATACAAAAAAATATATATCAACTATTATATATTTCACTTGGTTGTTGTGAAGACCAAATGAAGTATTCCATGTAAAGTGCATAGAACGGTGCCTGGGATACAATATGTGCTCAGAAAATGTTAGCCATTATTAACAGGTTTTGTAAGCTACACAATGATGAACAAAAAAGCAGGTCTTTTTGACAAGACCTGCATGTCTACAGTAGCTTATGCTTAACTGTAATAGCAGGAGCTGGGTCCCTGGCTTGATCACAGCCTCATTCTCCATACTTTCGTGGGCCTTCCTGATACTACACTGTCAATATAGATTTCCAAAAAATCCTTTTGCTCCTGGATCGCCTGTCACTATGTTGTATCACCAGCTCATCTTAGTAATAATAACAGTAACAATAGTAACAAAACAGCTGACATTCCACATCTGGGATAATGCTTAAAGTTTTGCTTATATTATTTCACTCAATTGCTGCAAACAATCCTATGAAGTAAAAGTATTATTATTATTATTATTATTATTTAATAGATGAGGATATTCAAGTCTGGAGGTGTTAAGTAATTTGTACAAGGTCAGGCAAACCTGGAACCTATGCTTGTCTGGCACTAAATTCCATGATTGTACCATGAGACTAAAATACTTCATTATGTTATTATCTCAAGTGCCAGAGCTCTTCATCCTTCCAACATTTGCCAAGCTCCCCAAGCTCAGATATCCCTTTGTTGTCTGTTATCAGTGCTCCTGGGCAGGACATTCTCTCTGCCAGATTAGCCTCCTTCCAAAATCCTATAGCTGGGTCTATCTCTAGTCCTACTAAACCTAGAGTTGTCTCTAGTCCATAAACCTTTCAGTCTCTGCAGCCCTCCATATGGAGCTAGGCCATGCCCAACCACAACCCAAGATTTGCTCTCTAAGGTTGGCTCTAGCTCCCAGGATTTATAACAAATTCCTCTGGGAACTACCTCTTGAGGAACCATCCATACACACTTTAGGAGGCACAGGTCATTTAACAGCCCCTTCAATCCTTGGCTTCCACCAGCCACCTACTTTCTGCTCTTCATCTGGATGAACTGAAATAATCACCCTTTTGTCTCTAGAGAGTCTCATGTGGCACCATTCTTATTCCTGACTTCTGAAACACTTAGCTTCAAGACTACCCAGTATTGAGAAATGGGGTGGTTCTGTAGTCTGGATGTGCTGGATTGCATCTATTATCAGTTTTTTTCCCAATGCTATCTGTCAATGTCCCTCACCTCTGACCCCAACTAACTGTGCAGGAAGGAAATAAATCAAAGACTCTCAGAGTTGGAAGTAACTTTAGAGGTCATTAAATCCAACCCTTTACCTGACATTGATCCACGTCTACAGCATTGCCAATAAGCAATTGCTTGTCCTCAGCTAGATCTGATGGTAGGGTACAGGGTGCTCTAGACTCCCAGGACGACTCCTTCCAGTCTGCTGATATCCATTTATCTAAACTTTTGCCCAGACTTCAGTGCTAGCTCTGCTCCCTGGCTTCACACAGAGAAAACCACATTCCTCTTCTCTATGACTGCCTTCAAAGTATTTTAAAACAGCCCTTGAGTCACCCACTTCACTTTTCAGGCTAAACTGTCTCCGTTCTTTAATACACTCCTCATCACTCATGGTTTCTGGGACATATGAGGAGCATCACCTCTGGTCAGTCATACATCTCTCACTGCCTTCTACTTTATCGATGGGCTCAGGATACTGCCAACATCAAATGCATAGACTCCTCTTCATGGCTTGAAGCCAGGCTGATGTACATTCAGGAAGAAATGGAAGTGAAGAGTGGTAGAAGGGTAGGAAAGGGAACTTTTCTGAGAGAGCAAACTTAGGAAATGAGAATGCAGGTGCTGATAAAAGTGTATGCTAGAATGTGAGCAGCTGAGGGGCATGTAATAACAGCTGGGAGAATGGGGATGGCTCAGCTTTTACGAAATGGGAAACCTTGGGATGGGGTTTCTTTGGGCAAAAATCTCCAAGGTGGAACAAACCTACTGTGCTTAGAGCAGTGAATCCGAATCAGAGAGATGCTCATTTGAGTTATGAAGGCCACCCTTGGGAATTATCAGTCTTGAGTTGAAGCAACAGATTTTGAAAGTTCCAGGTTTAAAAGATTTTTGGAAAAGGTATTTTTTTCTTTCTAAGTCAGACTTAGGTCCACATGCCTAGACTATTGCTCATGTTACCATATGGATAAAGAAGCTAAAACTAATCAATACACCGGTTGGGTTCCCTAGCAGAGCCTGAGATGGCATACCTTCTACAGGTGATTTATTGAGGGAGTTTCTCATAAAAAGCCTAGAAGCAGGAAGGGGAAGGTAGGGCAGGGGAAAAGGTAAGCATGAATGTGGTTTCAGGAGAAGTCCAGCTCAGCCTGATCCCATGGGAAGCACTGAGTGTAAACTGCACCACAATGCACCATCAACTGCACCACAACTGCACCATCTTGAGGCGAGATGACTGGCGTTTCCTATTCCCGTCAGTCAGTCACTGGCCACTGGCTGCCCCCAGGTGGTGGGGAGGTGAATAACTTCCCAGATATCTCCAGAAGAGGCAGCACCAAGGGCCAGCCTCCCCACGAAAGGGACTGATTAAGCTGTTATGTGCTCTACCTACAGGTGCAGTAAAGAGGATCTGGGCTGGCTAACAGCGTCTTCCACAGATACACTTGCTAATTCACGCATGTAAGACCCAAAGTGAATCACTGCCCTCAACTGCTGGACTACTGTGCTGCAAACTTTGAGTCAGACCGACGAGCTTCAGCCAGGCATCTCATGACTCCTAAACAGGATTTTGAGAGCAAGATTCTGGGTCTCCCTCATCCCGCTGCAGCCTCTCAGTGCATCTAGGTGTTTCTGCTTCCATTGCACATATCTATCTAAATAAAATTGTTATGATTAAACAAACAAATAAATAGATGAATAGATCTGGTGGCAAATGAGCAGCAACTGTTCCCCACTTCCAACATAAGTTAAAGTTTGAGTTTCAGCAAACAGATGTAGGATCAGAAAACAAATGTTTATTATGTTCTGTTGCATTAGAGTGGTACAGGTTGGCAAGTCCTTAGAAACCACCTAATTCCATGCCTTCGTTTTACAGATAAGCAAACTGAGGCCCATTGAGGCTTATTACCTTCCTGAAGGTTGTACAACTAAATCTACAGAGGTCATAAATCCAGGCAAATACGTTGCTTCTCTGTTACATGCTTAATTTCTTCTGAGCATAAATTCCAATGGCTACTGAGGCAATCAATAGAGAATATATTGAAATCAGGAGAAAATAAGTACTGGGAGATGGAAAGATGCTTCAGCATCGAAAGAATGGCACTTTGGGGAATGTTGTCCTCAAATAAAGCCCAACCGGATAAACAGGCTTTTATCAGAGAATTTCAAGTTATCAAATAATAACCATGTGGTATTTCTGAGTGTTGGAGGCAGCTGCTATCCTGTAACCACTAAGCCTAGTCCGTATGATTTTAAGTCAAATGCATGAGTGAAACATGGTATATGGAGTTTCAAACTGGGAGGGGTGATGTAGGCTTGGTTTCACGTTGTAATAGATTGTGGGTCAAATGGCCTTGCTGGTCAAGTTAGATATTTTAACTCAGCTCCAACAAACATAAACATCCTACAAAAAAGAGAAAGCACATAGCAAACTTTCAGGTCTCTCTAGACTCATGTGGTATCATTTTAGTCTCATGGAGGGAATAGGGTGCTTGGCACTTTGACATGTAGCCTGCTTTATGGAGCACCACCTTTAATAGCAAACTTCATGTTAAATGCTACCAATTCAGTCTTTGAGAGATTTTTTTAATGGGATCACATTTCAGCTGTTACAAAAGAAATCAGTAGCAAACTAGGATTCACTTTGCCAACTTTGTTTAAAAATTCATCTCTTCATTAATGGAAGAACTTTCTATAGAGAGGAAAAGAGAATTACAATAGAGAGGAAGAAAGGAACCAACACCCCAGTCAATAAGCTTCCAGGTAGCCTTCTAAGCAGTTCTGGATGTCTAAAAGCTTGCTGAGAAAGAGACACAGACATACAGATTCACCCAACAATAAACCAGGCATTATCTAGGAACTTGTGCGGTAGCTTCAGTTTTTTCTTTGCAAGTAGACGATGTGGGTCATCAAAATAGTCAGCTCTCAGTCATTGTCTTACCCCTTCATCACATCAGAAAGAATTTTATATACCCCGAAAGCATGACTTCCAGAGAGCTTACAGCTTAAAGTTCTAAACTGGAAGATCCCAAATGGAGGCTGGCATCATGGAAAACTTGCTTGGTTTGACAAAGGTTGCCCCTCCAAGGGCATGTCGAATGTTCACAAGACTTCAGAGCATCCTAAGGAAAACGATAAATCATCTACCTTACATTTGTTGCAATTTAGGCCATTTTGATATGGAACCTAGAGACTTTACAGATGGGGAGAGTCAGGGTCTACATCTGTGTGCTGAGGCTTGCAGTGTGGATGGTCTTGCAAGAAGAACCAGAGTTGACTCAAACTTGGGCCTCATCACAGAGCAGGGTTGGGCCTGTCAGGATGTGTGACTTTGTGTAAAGGAACACATCTCTGGTGCATCTTAGCACACATTCAAGAAACAGTAGGACCAAGA